GTGTTCTTCAAATTTAGCCACAGGCATGAAGAGTTAGCACGATGCCAACGTCAGGGAAGCCAAGGCTGGGTGCTGGGGTTGGATGCGTGGCTCAGCTGGCAGCAGGTACAGAGTTTGAGTCCCAGCCTCAGGCCTGAAAAAGAAAAGAAAAGAAAAGACGAGAAAAGGTTTGGTCCTGTTCAAGGAAAGGCCCATACGGACTCTACACCCTGAAGAAGACCCTTTCTCCCCTCTCCTAGGAACAGACACTGTCACCCAGTGAAGTGCAGCTGCTCAGCGGCACACAAAACAGGCAATAGAATTCTGTCCTTCCTCCCAGGAAAACTGCTCTTTCCATCACTCCTTAGTTTCTCATGGTTCCGGATCTGAATTGGATTTTGGTAGCTGACAGAAAGTCATTCCCAGTCATTCCCGTGCAATGAAGTTCTTACAGAAAGATGCTGCACGGAGGCCAGGTGAAGGGAGCGTGCTTTGCTCAGCCCCCAGGCCCTCATGTAGCGGCTTCCCCCCAGGATGGCTGAACCCCAGTGCGTGGAACAGCCTCTGGTCAGAGCTGGCTTTGAACCAGGGTCCTCAGATCTCAGCCCCAGACTAGTAGGATTTCAGGCATGAGCCACTGGTGCCCGGCTTTCTTTATCGTTTACATTTTATGGAGGTTTACCTGGAAACAAAGTTACCCTTGTTGACAGCAGCAGTGCAAAGTGACTCTGATCATCTACTTCCAAATAGAAGTCGTGTGTGTGCACACGTGAATTACCAAACACCCATTCTCTGCTTTACCTGTCCCCCACCCCCACCCCAGAGAGTAAGCCACAAGTGACTTGCCCTGCTCTCCACAGTGAGCAGAATACTGCTGGCCAGGCCACGGCACCTAGTGAATATTTTCTTGTTCTATCCACTGGCTGTGTGTTGGGGACAGCCAGTGGCTGTTCTCCAACCACTGCAATAGTCAGGAAGACAGATGCATGGTTTCACGCTGGCCCTGAACTTTACCTTCATTCTGACTAAACTCCTGTTAGCAGACATTTTTAGCACCCTGGCAGATGCTCTGTCAGCTGCTTAATGGTCTGTGAAACTTAAATGCACAGGGGAATGTCGTTCTTCCAAATTCTTTGGCTAAGGAAAACATCAGAACCTGCATCTGTGAAGAAGCAAGATTTTGCCAAGCATGGTGACTCATGCCTTCAATCCTGGCTACTATTCAGGAGGTAGAGATTGGGAGGATTGTGGTTCTTGGTCATCGCTGACAAAAAGTTCTACTAGCTGTGCAGGAAATGGAAATAAGAATATCTTGATCCGGGCGGGCTGAGCACAAACACTCGACCTTATTTTAGAAAAATAACTAAAGCAAAAAGGGCTGGGTGTGTGGCTCAAGTGGTAGAGGACCTATCTACCACATTCTAAGGCTCAGAGTTCAAAGCTCAGTGCTGTCCCCCCCCTAAAAAAAAGTTGTATTTTTATTACGTTTGCATTTTACAGAAATATAGTGCAATTACACGTGTATTTATAACAATTTGGGGTAGGAATAACTAAGGAGAAACATTGGGTCCATCATGATCTAAATCAGGAGGAAAAGAGGCTTTAACTTTCAGAGCTAGCACTGGAAAGGCAGACCTTCAGTAACAAACAACTACACAAGGCTCTGTCTAGCCCAGGACTTCTGTGACTGGCAGGTCTCATTCCAGAGCTCACACACTGGGCAACCTGTTCTTCATGTCCCCTGGTTCCCTAACTCTTTGTCTGCAGGTCTGATGAGCAGGCTACTATTGATGCAGGGCTGGTATTATTTCTACCTCTGTGCCAGCAATTTAGGGGAGAGTTTATGCATGTAAAGACTATTTTTTTTAAGCTTTTAAGTTGCCTTTCAGAATGCTTTTGTGAAAAATGCCCTTGAGAAATACTGACTCATATGAACTTGGAGAAACTGTTTGAGATTTTTCAAAAAAGAACCCAAAAAACTGTAGTGTTCTTGAACCATTAGCTATTATAGACTTTGCTATTCTTTGTCGCTAGCTGCATTTAAACCTCATAAAACAGCCCTACGAAGTAGAGACTCAATTGAATGCTGCCAAATACAAAAACACAAGTAACACCCCCGCCCCCAAAAAACCCAAGCCAGAGTAATTGAGGACTTGAGCAGAACACCAAGTTTAGTGCGTTGTACCTGTGATCTCCACAAGTGAGAGAAAGACGAGAGACCAGTGAACACTGAAGAAAAGCCTTTGTCCTCAGGATGGTACTTAAAGCCCTGGTGGCCAGGGCTGCGAGCGCAGCACAGCTCGACTGACTGGATAAATAGATGCATTAAATCCCATGAGTATCCAAGGGAAGGAGCAAGCAGCTCTGCCTGCCGCTGTTCTCGTGGTGAATGCTTTGTACTGGGCCTTACCAGTGGGTTCATTCTCCCTAGAAGGCAGAAGAGGAACCCGCAGCACAGAGAGCCCTACGGTGGGGACAGTGTACCTGTGTGGGGAACAGGATGACCATTCCAAGAAGCCCCTGGTGACCGCTTTGTTTGGAACAAAGGCCCTGTGGGAGGCTATGCCACGGGAAGAGCAGACCAGAGGCCCAGAACTTGGGGGGCCTTGGTGAGACCTAAGGATCTTGGTCACACTTCACCTAGAAGGCTTACTATGAGGGCTGTGTAGAGAATATATCCAATCCAAAAGGAGAGGGTCACTGGGCAGTGGGCTCTCTGGGTCCCCCAGCAGCCAGAGCCCTCTTAGACCCCCAGGTTCCAACCTTGCTGCACCGCAGCCCTGCATAAATATGGCTGACTGGTTTGTTCATTTGTTTGAATTCTGTTCTTTCCATCACTTGATGGCATCTCTGAGCCCCTGAGTCCAGATCATCCAGTCCTTCCATTTCTTTCTCTTTTTTCTTTTTCGTTCTTTTTTTCTGTCTAACTGGGGCTTGAGCTCGGGGCCTCATACTCTCACTTGGCTTTTGCACACTTTACCACATGGACCCCACCTGTGCTTCTTGCTTTTCGCTGATAGATTGGAGATAAGAGCCTCACGGGCTTTCCTGCCCAGGCTGGCTTCCAACCATAATCCTCAGATATCAGCCTCCTTAGTAGCTAGGACTGAAGATGTGAGCCACCAGCACCCAGCCTTCCATTTCCTTCTTGAGTCCTTCAAATATCTAGTCAGAGCATTCAGGGTTTTGGCTACATTCTTAAGCTTCCCTTTACTGGGTCTGTCAAATACTAGTTCTTAGTTCACTTTGTATCAAAGGATTATACTTTCAGAAAATGTACTTTGGAGGGGCTGGGAAGGTGGCTCAGTGGTAGAGTGCTTGCCTTGCATGCCTGAGGCCCTGGGTTTGATTCCTCAGCACCACATAGGCAAAAAGAAAAAAGCTGGAAGTGGTGCTGTGGCTCAAGTGGTAGAGCGCTAGCCTTGAGCTGAAGAGCTGAGGGACAGCACCCAGGCCCAGAGTTCAAGCCCCATGACCAGACCCCCCCCCAAAAAAAAAAAAAGAAAATGTACTTTGGAGCCCCCAGATCAATAGTCTATCTGTCATAAGAAATGCTCACAAACTTTCATATTGTCAAATTATCACTACTCAGAGCTAGACTTTTTAGGTAGTTCTAGTGCTGAGAAGGTTGACATTGCTTCATTTAAAAATATTTGACTTTTAGTTTTAGCTTCAAAATTTTTCTGACTAAATTGACACCAACCTCTGATTGGGTTGGTAATAGCCTTTTAAGCCTGTATCTGATTTCTAGTTTTTCAGTTCATATTTGCAAGAGCTAAAGAGGTATGATCAATTTGACAACTGACACAAAGCTACTGAAACAGCAACGTTTTATTTTGAGGCTCAGGGGCACCCATAGCCATCTGCTCTCATCATCAAGGACCTTATTCCAAGCCCATTCTTTTCACAAAGATGCTCAGCGAAGCCAAGGCCGCCCCATCACTTTGTTCCTTCCTTAGTACAGAAGGACTGAAGGACTCGGCCAAGGCCCTCCTGATGATCTTCTCTTCTCCAAGAGAATTTTTTAGTCACGTCTTGGGGTCTGGGGTGAGGTGTTGATGTGAGAATAAAACTGGAAGCTTCATCTTCCTACAGATTAAGGGCTCTTCGCTCTACAGAATACTGAGACCACCGGTTGGGACCCCATGGGTTAGGGGGTGATTCTAATGTGAGATGGGCAAGCAGAACCAAACCCAGAGACAAGATGGAACTTGGAGACAGATGTATTTGTAATTTTTTCTACATTTTTAGAATTGGCTCAAAAACATAATCAAAGATTCTGGTCAGATGAACAAAATGTGGAAATGATGTCTTTGAATATAAATTTAAGTGTTTTTATTTTTACAAATTTTTTTCAATGTATATTCCCATCTCCTATGCACTAGATTTTTGGGTTTTTTCCACTTTCTGGAGTTCATGTCAATTAATATTATTTTCTGTGATTAGAGGCACATAGGCTTTGGGTCTTTGTGCGCCTCCTCACACTGGTATTTTTGAGGAACGAATGTGGAGAGTCAGCTGGGCTGGATTTGGAGCACACCATCCAAGAAGGAGAATTCAGCATGGCCCTGTGCTAATTGGGGCAAAGGCTAGCTTTTGTAACAGACCTTCAGAGATTGACATAGTACAAGTTTGGTGGGCAGTGAAGACAAAATCAGAAGGGTGGTCTTCTGCACCCTGGGCCGTCCAGGTGGCCTGGGGGGGTGGGGAATTGTCTGCACCCCCTCCCCAGGAGGGAGTGGGCGGGGTCCCTCAGATTCCCTACTGGGTGGGGCCAGGGGTGGGCGGAGCATATGAGCTCAAAGGCCATTGGCCAGTGTTGATCACGTGGGCTCCTATGAGCATGGAACAAATCACATTGGTGCTCCAGGTATGCACTAACAGCCCGCCCTTGGTGCCCTGCACGCATGCGCGTCAGGTGGGGGGGGGCCCCCCAGAGCTAGGTGGGCCGACTCCAGGGGGATTTGTGTCCACAAGGAGGGTCTGGGGGCTGAAGCACTGTTTCTCCTTTTCCTCTACAGACATTGCAAATGGCACCAGTTCCGGGGGGTACCGCCCGCCCCCCAGAACCAAAGAAGTCATCATCAACGGCCAGACTGTGAAACTTAAGTACTGTTTCACCTGCAAGATTTTCCGGCCCCCTCGCGCCTCCCACTGCAGCCTGTGCGATAACTGCGTAGGTGAGTGAGGCTGTGGGTCTGCGGAGGTCGGCTCCGCCCCTCGGGCCGGCTCCGCCCCTGGGCCGGCTCCGCTCCCAGGCCGGCTCCGCCCCCAGGCAGGCTCCACCCCGGGGCCGGCTCCGCCCCCAGGCAGGCTCCGCCCCTGGACCGGCTCCGCCCCCGGGGCCGGCTCCTCCCCTGGGGCAAGTTCCTCCCATGTGCCTGGCTCCGCCCCCAGCCGGCTCCGCCCCCGTCACTGCATTTGACTGGCTCCACTGGCTGACCGCGTCTGGCCTGGTCCATGGCCACCGATCCTTCGTGTTTCCTGGCTCTTTGCATCCCTACGCCACCAGGCCTCCTCCCCAGCGCAGGTACCGCGTGAGGGTCTTCATCTCCCTGAGGCTGTCAGACCCGTAGGAGTTGGGATGAAACTACTCCTGGAGGAGCTGCAGGCGTGCATCCCAGGGACAGGAAGCCAGGCCGAGGCAGGCGGCATCCCCATCCCGGGGCGGCTGTTAGGACCCCTGCTCTAGTCACTAGCTTCCCTAGGACGGAGCCGGGAGGCAGGCAGGGGGAGAGCCGGAGGCCCTTCCTTACAAGATGTGGCCCTACTACCACCCCTGCACCGGCTGCTGCAACCCACCAGGCCTGGCCCCTGGAGTCCTCAGACAGAGCCACTGCCCACGCCACGAGGCTGGCAAGGGATTAGAAGGGCAGCTGAGGGCTGGACCACATGTGGAGGACCCCGCTTCTTAGCGCTTGGCCAGCCTTGAGTAGACATGAACGTGATGTTCCCATGAAAATAAGCATGGAACTTGCGACCTCATGCCTGAAAGGAGAGAGAGGAGCTCAGAACAAGCCTGCCTTCCCTCAGTGACACATCCATATGTCCGTCATTCACTCCCAGCCCTCTCCTCCTTCAGTCTAAGAATTCATAGTCTCATTCTTTTTGAAAAAAATGCAGTTCTATAATGTACTTCCTGCTGGGACAATCAATCTTATGTACCTTACATTTACTGTATCCTAACTTTAATCATCAATAATTTCATACAGAGGCCCTATTTTTCCTCTCAGGCTTTGTTAACTTAAATTAGTTTTTGCCTTCCCTAAGGAACAGCATAGAATTTGGTTCTGTCTTTCCTATCAGGAGAAAGGAACCTAGAGTTAAGTGCAATATGACAGGCCCAGAGTGACAAAGGGTATGTGTTTTCCCTTGTATGTGGAAGCTAGATGTAGATCCCAGACTCATAAGTAGATATGTTGGGTGGTGTACAAGTGCATACAAATGTATTAACTGAAATACAGTAGATTCAAAGGAGATCTTAAATAGTAACAATACCTTAGAAAGCCAAAATTAAAGTCCAGCTAAATAAATCACCAGGAACCCAGTACTCAGAAGGGGTGGAGTGAGGTCTAGGGGAAAAGGGGAATGAAGAGGAGAAGATGAGGGGAATGCAGATAGGAATCCAATGTGTATCCTACAAAATTAAGAATTGGGAGGGAAGGGCTGGGTGAGAATGTTAAAGGGGTGCCACTGATCAAGATATATTCATAAACTACTATGTGAAAGGGCAACTCCTTTGTACAATACTTAAAGAGAATCGTTTTCAAAGAAGTACAAAGAAAGCACCTGGGTCCAAATATCTACCATGTGACTTAGACCCGCTGCTTACTCTCTGGCCTCTGTTTTCTCTTCGTTGTAGTGGGGTTGGTGGCAGTTCCTACCTCACGTGATGGTAGGAGGTTAGAGACATGCAAAGCTCTTGCAGTAAGCCTGGCACGTAGCACGCGACCCATGTGAGGGGACACACTAGAGCTTCTGCAAAGATATCCCAGGCTCGGTTTGATTTCCTACCTTTCGTGGGGACAGCCGCCAGCCCCAGGGGCCATCCCACAGGCATCCCCACGACACTCTGAAGCCAGAGCAGCATGGGGGCTTCTAACTCTTCAGGGGACCCATCTGTGGGAATTCTCAGGGCCATTTGTTGGGTTGATATTTTGATCCCCGTGACTCTAATAGGATCGAAAAGTATAAAACTTAACTCTTGTGTTGTTTTGCATGCCCTCTCCTGCCGGCCTAATGCCCTACCCTGATCTGCATTTTGATTAATAAGGATGTGTTTTCTTCTTCTCTTTATCATTTATAAAAAAAAATCTTTTCCATTTTTGGACACTCTTTGTTGCTACTTACTCATTTGCATTTCCTGTTCTCAGCCTGCTATTTCTTGTCTTGTGCACATGAGGCGCTCAGGCTGCTGAGCTCTGAGGAGCCGCACGGGGCCCAGAGGGCAGCGTGGTCCACTTGTCTTCCGTCCCCTCTGTCGTGTCTGGTCTGGATGCCTTAAAACTCTCCCAAAGCCATTATTGCTGTGGCCGGGGACTGTACCGCCCTCTACAGAATGCTTACAGGTCTCCTCCCCTGGCCTGCTGTCCTTTCTCTCCTGAGCATGTGGCGTGTTTTAATACACACCCTCCTGGCCACAGTGGACCCTCCCATTGCCTCGCTGCATCCTCTGTGATGGGGTCTCAGAGCTCAAACCCGAGCACACGCACCTCCACCACGGTCCTCAAAACCCAGCCACGACATCACTGTCCGACGGACGTCGAAAGGTTGAAATGAGGAGTTTGGCATTGTACTTGCCTTCTAGTGCAGGCTAGCATCCTGGATTTCTTCTTCACCTTGGGTCTGGTAAGAGGGCCAATAATGTTCCATCGAAAAGATGTTAGTTAGCCAGGTGCTGGTGGCTCACGCCCATAATCCTAGCTACTCGGGAGGCTGAGATCTGAGGCTCACGGTCAAAGCCAGCCTAGGCAGAAAAGTCCATGAGACTCTTATCTCCAATTAATCATCAGAAAACTGGAAGTGGTGCTGTGGTAGAGTGCTCACCTTGAGCCGAATTGCTCAGGGACAGTGCCTAGGCCCAGAGTTCAAGCCCCACAACCAAAAACAAAACAAAACAAAAAGATGTCATTTGAGGGAAATGGAAGGAGCTGGCATCTGTGTCCTCTTTGAGACCTGAACTCTTAAGACTTTACTATGCCTCCTAGTTTGCTGGGTCTTTGCATTTCACCAATATTTAATCAGCATCTGTATGTCTAGGGATGTGATAGGAGCTAGTTATGCCAAAGTAAAAGATAGTCTTCGGATTGTTACTACAGCAGAGCATGGAGAATTCAAGCAGAACACTTTGCATTTATCATGGGGCACAGGTCCAAGAGAGTAATTTCATTTTGCTAAAGAGTGCAGTTAAAGGCTGAATATGATGGCTCCTGCCTGTAATCCTCGCTGCTCCAGAGGAAGAGATCAGAACTATTGAATTTTAGGACAGAAATGTTTGCAAGACCCCCATCTCAACCAACAAAAAGTTGGCAACCATAGTTTGTAGCCTGACAGCTATGCAGAAAACATAAATAGGAAAACCATGGTGAGGGTCGGGGTAGGCACCAATGTGAGACCCTACTTGTAAAATAAGTAAAGGAAAAATGTCTGAGACCGTAGCTTAAATGGTTTAAGTGTGAGGCCCTGAATTCAGTCATGCCAACAAAAGTACAGTACAAAATTATCATTTATATACAAAATAACATTGCCTCAAAATTCATAAAGTTAAAATTGTTAGGAAATACAGGGATAGTTTGGTATGAACACATGGCATACCTGTTTTTGAGACTGATGTCCATAAAATATAAGAAAATCAAGGATCTCACTATGTAACGAATAAATATATGTTGATCTTTGTTTCTGTAAGATATGCCTTTTTCAAAACATGTCATAAATCATAAAAGGCCATCAAGATATTCCTAAATTCCTACAAAGCAGATGTTGCCTTAACTACATCATCTGATGACACAATAAACTAGAAACAGCCACAAAGAAATAAGTGCCTAGCTGGGTGCCAGTGGCTCACGCCTGTCATCCTAGCTACTCAGGAGGCTGAGAGCTGAGAATCATGGTTCAAAGCCAGCCCTGGCAGGAAAATCCACAAGACTCTCACCTCCAATTAACCACCAGAGAATCGGAAATGGCGCTGTGGCTCAAGTGGTAGGGTGCTTGCCTTGAGCTGAAGAGCTTAGGGACAGTGCCCAGGCCTGGAGTTCAAGCCCCATGACCAACAGAAAGAAAGAAATGAGTGCCCAAACACAACCAATTATCATTTTTTGAAGATTAAAAACTTTACATAAACAATTTTTGTGCTACTTGGGAAAGAGCTTAGGGCTTTACACTTGCTAGGCAAGTACTCTGCCACTTGAGCCATTCCTACAACTCTTTTATTTTTGAGATAGAATCTTGCTAATTTTTTCCTGGGATGGCTTCGTGTTCAATCACCTGCCTCTGCCTCCCTAAACATACATCAGTGCCTAACTATGTACATTGTTTTCTTTTAATGGTACTGGGGTTTGAGCTCAGGCCTCAGGCTTGCTAGGCAGACCCTCTACGTCTTGAGCCATATCCTCAGCCCTTTCTCGAGTTTGCTATTTTTCAGATAGGGTCTCAAACCATGATTCTTGCAAGTCGCTAGTGTCACAGATATGCACCACCATTCCTGGCTTCATAAACTCTTTTTTTTTAATTGTGAAAATGTCATACAGAGGGATTACAATTACATGGGCAAGGTAATGAGTACATTTCTTATCAAGCATTGTTGCCTCCTCCTTTGTTTCCCCTTCCCATCCCTTCCCATCTCCCCCACCCCCCACCCCATGCCAAGTTCCTTTTTCGATTTAAAGTCTTATACATCTCATTGTTGCAATGGGTCCACCTGTATCCCTATTTAAACAATTTGTTTTTTTCCCTTCCCCTCCACAAATTATACCAACATCAAATACAGTGAAAACAGGGGTTATACTGTTGGGGAGGGACATACAAAGCAACAAAAAAAAAAATCTTATAAATATGTTAGAAACAATAGCAAGAAGAAAAAACATTTGAGTCCTTATCTTGGGGTTCTTTTTGCCTAACATCAACTTATCTGTTTCTGCTTGTCTCAGACATATACTAGTTATTGCAAATAAGGGAAACCATG